AGATTTTAGTTTCAGCAAAGTTTTTGTTTCTTCAACACAACTTCTAGATAAAATCATAAAAGTTACATTTATTCATTTAATTTAGTAAATATTACAGAAACTAAAGAAAACTATTTTAATTTAATGAGATGCTTAAAATCTAATTTGATCAATAAAATGAATTTACTAAAAGTTAATGTTTGGATTTAATAAAAAAGTTTAACATTATTCTTTTAAAACCACATTTAGTCAGTCAGCCCCTCTAAAACAGGCCCAGTGACCTCCTGTGTTCTGGTCAAAGACTGAGCTGACAGAGTCCAGGTACCAGGTCCAGATGTTTCCCACAAACAGGAAGTGATGAAGCAGGACTTCTTTATTAACTTGATACAGTTCAGAACACAAATCAATGCATCACGTCTGCAACCATGGAAACAAGTCTTAAAGGGAAAGTTCAGACATGTTTAACCCTTTAAACCCTGAGGAGCTTCTTCATGTGCTGCAAGAACAAAACATCAATAAAGTTTTCATTTGCAGAAAAACCTGAGTTTGTGTTTCATCACCTTTTTTAACAATATAAAACAGAACAACAAATAATACAAACTCTTGTGAAGGGTAATATAAAATAAAACTACAAACTACATGTTAGGGGGCAAGTTAAATGATGTGTTTCATCACTTTAAAGCACCTGAAGTTAAACATGTGAGGGGTCAAAGGTCAGGGACTGGAGGGGGCGGGGTCAACGGTCAGGGTCTGGAGGGGGCGGAGTTACTCCCTCGGCACCAGAGAGTCCAGTTCCTGCAGCTGCTGCTTCTCCTCCAACCACTCCACCTGACGAGCCTCCAGCAGCCTGGAGGAGAGGGAGGAGGAGCCTCTTTAGACCACAACAGACCGGCTGAGAGAGGGGCTGACTGGGACCTGAAGGCACCTCTCAGCCTCGTGCTGGCTCCTCTCTGCCTGGCTCCTGTCGGTCCTCAGCTGGTCTCGGACCCTGTCCAGCGTGTCCCTCAGCCTCTGGTTGGTCTCCAGCAGGTCCTTCTGGGAGCGAGCCAGCGCCTGGTTGTGCTGTTGAGTCAAAACTTTCAGTACAAAAACAAACAGGTCCAGTTTGAAGGAGTCTTGTGACTCACCTGCTGCAGGTCACAGATCTCAGCTTCCTGTCCTTCAGCTTCCTGCAGCTGAGAGTTCAGCTGCTGAACTTTGCTCCTGAAACCATGAAACCATGACACCATGACACCATGACTCAATGAAACCATGACACCATGACACCATGACACCATGATACCATGAAGAGAACTCAGGGTATCTGCAGTT